TACACGTATGTAAATAAGTAGCAGCCACATGTACACATAGATTCCCTGTAGATAATCTGTATATAACTTGAAGCTTGTCCATAATAAAGAGACTTATGATCTGAGACTGAAGATGTGAAGTTGTTCTGTTATGCTTCTCTGTGCACGTACAGTGAAAGACTGAGGCGAATCTGGAGTCATGTCGGAGCCCATAGATTAGTTAATTCGTCAATGGAAATTGATACACTGAAATTCAGTACAGTTATAAATTAAAGTTAAAGTCATTTAAGACGGTTCACAACAATTTTGTAAATTTGTCTGTATGAAATGAAATGTTGTGGCAGACACCTGTTTGAGAAGTGGGCTCAACATTATTTTAATACCCATATGCTTACCAACTTGGTCTAAGTAACGAAAATAATAAATATATTGCAGAGCACCTTTCTCTTTGTTTTTCTTTGATACTCATTATTTCTTGAATATTGACATTTTTAATACCACAGGGTGGATAATTACATAAAGGACAGTGTTCAAGTACGTTTGAACTGCGTATTAAGAGAGTGCATGACCTGTCGTCAAATTAATGACAATCTTTCTCTTGTGTGTCATGCCATAGGCCTGCGCGATGAGCTTAATCAGTGCAAAGCTACACCATTATCCGCAAATAATTGACGCTGATACTTATTCGGAGTCAAATAGATAACAGTCACGAATATTTGGCTCCCCCATAATAGCTTTATGCTGTTTTCGACATTTAATCCGAGAGAAATCAACCTTGATCCATAGCAAACACAGGAAACCGTGGTTTCACTGACATTTTCAACAAAAGCATCAGGGTAAGGTAAGACGCAATCCAGAGAAAAGAAAAAGTATAATACATGTTTATCTATATCGCCGACAAATGGATATTGCTGACTTACGTTAGTACCACCAACAGCGCCGGATGAACAAGAGCTCAAATTTATATATTACAAGTCTTTCCCATTGACTTGTATTATACGAAGAAGAGCACGACAGGGACGTAGACGAGATATAGTTAGACCACGCAAAAAGTGCTCGCGGAGTGTTCACTGGCGAGGCAGATAATCGACAGTTTGATGTTATTTACGTGTCTTTTGGCGAGAAAGAACAACCGAGTTGTTTTAATGTTGGATTCATTCGTGGACAATGTGTAAAAATCAACCCGTTTAACGGAAAGTAAAATTTTGGGGAAATTAAACACCATCAATCTGATGCATTCACCATGTATATGCAAGCCAGGACTCATAAGAATATTGAGTCCTAGATACGAATAACCAAAGGCGATAAAGAGCAGTCAAAATACGCTGTGTGTTAGTGAAATCTTGTACAAAGCGAACACAGCGACGTCTACGGAGAGTTGATAGATGCAACGATAGCAAAGCCAATTTCGACGAGTTTTTTTTTAAAACTCAGCATGCATCGCCAGCCTTTATGGTAGTAAAGAACTATTGATCTTAACACACCGTAGCTCGGTCGCGTGCCAACACATGTGATATTATAAAATTATCCACCATCAATCAACGTACGCACTTCTTATGTGATGAATTTTTTCAAGAGCAAATGGGTTTTCTACTTGGAGATCACACTCAGTGTGCTTTGCTTGCTGATATTTTTCTACCATCTACATTTGATATCAATGGATGCGTTGGTTGAGGACAAACACGCCAACATGCTTTGAATATACCCTCTACCAGGGCCGCAGTTATTATACCGTGGACATTTTTGCTGGGGCGACACAGTACAGAGATCAGCCATCTATTTAACCAGGGACATATCTGTAAATATGTAGTAACAAATCAATCTGTGGCCCTGGTAGAGGGTATTTTAAATAAACAGTAGCTGCGACGTAAGACAGGGCCGAGAGAGAGAGGGCTTAGAAAAGGCTATCAAGTCAGACTTAGGTACATGTGGTCTTTGTGAGTGCTCACTGGAATCAACTCCATATCGTCGAATGCTCGACCCTGTCGTTTTTGGAAAGAGGGCCGCCTTTAATAGGAACGCGTGAAACGAAACCATGTTAGTTCCATAGCACCGGGAAGTGAACGCCTTGTTGGCCAATCCCCCATCTTCAAGCGCCGTCATTCTATTATTTTCTGAGATGTGCAGTCAGAGAATAAAGTGTGGTTATTACATGGTGGGAAAACGAAAACCAAACACCCCGCAGATCAATTGCAATCAATGCTACAAGCATATGCACTGAGCTACCGCACGTCATTAAGACTACGAGGTCTCTTCTTTCTTCAACTAATGATCTAAACCTCAGGAAAATGAAGGGTTAACTGTGTTAATTATGTGACTATACGCCTATTAAACTTCCTTTACTTCAGACAGAGAACAGGACACAGGTACATGCTGTATTGTTTCGGGGAAGAATATGCAGAAGAAAGAAGGACAACTTAATTACGAAAACGGAAGTTAGATTATAGCTAGAGCACTGCAATTTTGCACCCCTAATTTGTGTGATATGACTATCGATTTCAACCAGTTTTGATCACTCCCGACTTTTGGCGTTACTGGGAACAAATTGTGATATCATCGAAATATTAAAACGTTTTATGACCACTGGGCTATGTTTTCAACGCTGAGGAACTGGTTATGCGACATGTGGTGAAAACTAGTCGAGGATGTCCACTTAACAGCAGTACCACTGGAGAAACAGAATCGCAATGGAAAAACAATTGCTCCTTTGACTAGACCTCGCCATACCTTCGATTGCTGGCTTCTGTTAATGTTACTTTATATTATATTCGAACAGTGTATCACTAAAAACATTCTATCCATATGTGGACAGTAATACTTTGCATGGCAAAGCTTTTTCTTACAAATATGTGGACAGTAATACTTTGCATGGCAAAGCTTTTCTTACAAATAACAAAAAAAAAAAAAAAAGACAAATGTATAATCACATTTTATATGGATGTTCCTATCCTTTCTTAACCAAACCAAAAGTATATGCAAAATGATGAAAAATAATATAAACGCACATTAATTCATTTACAAGTGTTCAAATAAATCCTTGTTGTATTTGTATTCCTTAAGCATGGAATTTATCGTGAATAAGCCCTCTCTTCATTATGAAAAACGCCTATCTGTATCTCTACTTCTCCTTTTATGTTAACTTAACCTTAACAAACGTCTCATTGTCCCTTATCGACCTTGTATTTTGATATTTTACTAAATGGATTTTCCAAAGAACATCTGCCATCTTCGAGATGAATAATGGGGAACAACGGGTACTTGTAATTTAGAGACGTTCTTTCAGAGCGAAAAAAAAAAAAACAATTTGAATACGTTTCTATTTGTGGTATTTCTTGTCATATGCTCACTAACAGTGTATTCAAAAATTAAAAGAAGAAAGGAAGTCAGTTATGCATGCCAGAAGATATGTTTTAATTTTCCTAAATGAAACATCACATAATTCTGATATTTTCAAATACATCGCGCTGAATACATACAGTATATTTCAAATCGGAATGATAAATTTCCAAACAAGGAAAACTTCCATCCGCTATTTCATGTTTTCAAATATCCTGAACAAGAAAACCTACAAAAAAATATGAATAAAAGAGAAATGATGAAAACATCAAGTAGAAAAGTTCTCAATGTGTCAACGAAATTATTTAACCAATAATTCCAGGTTTGAATTTTTTTCGTGATGAATTCTCACATGAACAAGTACGAAACGGTAATTATTTCCTGGTAGGAAAGTGATTGTATATATATAATAAGCTGACATTATTAAAGAGTTATAATATTACTTGTTTCATCAATTTGTAACACATTTATCCGCTTCATCATGGAAAAATCATGCCAATGCCATGTAAAATAAGCTATCCACAAATAACAAAAGTTTTCAAAGTACCAGGCCAACACCCCCCACCCACACCCACACACACACACACACACACACACGCGTGCGCGCGCGCGCATATCACCTCTCACTTGCTCTTACACACACACGTGCATACTGGCTAAGCTAAGACATACCTAACTTAAAAAATGATAAAATCTACTCACGTGTTGTCATTTACTGGAGGACATACTGGAATGGTCCAGCAGTCAGTTGATAACCATCGTCTGCTTCCTCTCTTTTCTTCCGCCTCTCGTCGGAACGTAAGCACCCGTTGGTGCAGCGTGACGTGGTATCTTGCGAATGGCAGGCGGTCAGTTTGCAGTGCAGGTAGATCTGAGGTAAAATCTTCAGGAACTGGAAGGCTTTCAGGCTGAGTCGGATCTCTTTGGGGTTCTGGCACGGGAGAAACTTGACAGAGTGGCTGACGGGACATCTGTAAATTAAGAAAAGTATACCGGTACTCTTCTGTTCTGTTCTTGTATAAAGAGAAGACAGTCTGACTACAGTGAAATTATACACGTACGCGGAAATAGCTAGGTAATATCACAGAGATCCTATATCGTGAGTGATTCCTACTGACGCATGTAACGCAAAATAACCGAACGGTTTCAATTTATTTCTTACACGTGAATGTATTGTACGTACATGTACAAGCTATGGCAGCTCAATGTATAATAACTTACCCATTGCTGATGAACAAAAACTGAATCGGGTCTTTTGGACTTGGGGTAGTTGTAGCTTTGCATGTCTTGGCAAACAGTTTGACATCCTCGTCTTTCGAGTCGACACTGAGCAGGAAATACATTTTGTCTCGAACCTTCACCGCCACCGGAAAATCTTTCTTGGAGTACGGATTGACGAAGTTCTCGGTCTTAAATTGCTGCATTTTAAAGGAAAAATTCCCAAGCCTTTCTTCCCTGAAACGAATCTTGTCAACAACAGGGGTGAAGCTGTGGCCAACCCAACGGTGTTTCACATACTTGCAAACCACGTGGATCTCGACAGTGCTCGCCCAAGTCACTACCCCCTTCATGAGAGACAGGTAGTTGGGTCTGGTTTTAACGACGTTCGAATACCGGATGGAGGAGTTACCGAACTTCACTTTGGCGCCACAGCCGGTAAGTCTTGATTTGAACGTGATGAAGGTACTGTTACCCGTGGCCTGACAAGAGGGATCTGCTAACTGGGGTTGCCTCGGAATCAAACCGTGGAATGTCGGTCGCAGAATGTCAATTTGCATGTGCTCATTGGTACATGCGACGGTGACAGGTTTTGCTGAAAGAATGTTCCATGCTTTCGGTTCTTGAAGTTTTCGTTCATGTTCAAGTTTATCAAATGCATTAGTTTATTTCTTAAACAAACATACATTTAGGAGACAGTTCGTTTCATGAGTCTTAGATGAACCCAACACGTAGATATTAAACTATATAGGCATTACTTTCCTTAAGGTTGTGTATCGACAGCGAGGCTAACTTCACAGAGCTGCCACCTAGTGGCTATTAAAGCTCACAGGTAACCGTGTGTTACTTACATTGGCAGGTTTTGCCGTCCTGCTCAAGCAGCAAACTTCCCAATGGACATTGGCAGTGGTGTCGGTCATTATATTTCTTGTGGACACAAATATGGCTGCATCCGCCGTTGTTTGTTTTGCACCGGTTTTTTTACTAGGAATACAAACAGTGACTTTGCTTATATTAGGCGAACATGTGCTCGGATTAGTTCAAATCCACTGCCGCCTAAATATGCGCCTGGGCATTTTTCGACTCAGCCCTTTGTTTTATGACAGAAAGTTGTCACTGTTTTTAAGAAGTATACTTGAATTGATATCCCAATCCAAGAGAGAGAGAGAGAGAGAGAGAGAGAGAGAGAGGAAACGTTAATTTTACACTAAAAACTTTCGTTAAAAGTGTCTTTGCGGAATCCTTACCACAGGTTCTTTTGTCACTTCCCAACAGAAAACCATCTCTACACGGCCGCCCATGCCCTGAGTCGTGTTATGAGTAAAATAATGAAAAGAAATACTGATGCTGAACAAAAAGTATTTATGCTCCATTATCTGCATGCATAGGAAGCATAGACAGTCTGATTGTTTTTTTTTTGTCCATTGGAAGAAGAAAAAGCTTTGATTTCAATAACTAAGCAAGAACAAAGTGTTAGGCCCTACTTATTTGTAAAAAGTATACAATTGCACTGCATGTTAACATGTTAATATTTGGCAAACTGAACTCGAGTAGAACTATGGAAGAACTGCCGTTTAGAAGGGACACTGCAACTTCGTAACAAACATCTACTTCTGTTTTTCTGGTAAATCGAAATCCCCTTTTCAACATGTTGATAACAGAGTTTCCAGAGAGAGAGGGAGAGAGAGAGAGAGAGGGAGAGCACATGGCTTAACCACTAATACTATCGATTGAGTGGCCAACATCATAAACGGCGATCTTGTATTGCTACGTAAGCGACATCAAAGTTAAGTTCCAACTCACCGCAAGTCTTCTTATTACTAGCAAGGCGGAAACCCTTTGGACAAGAGCACACTGCGGTATCGTTGACCATGCTACACTTGCGCTCGCAACCTCCGTTGTTGTCAAGACACAAATCATGTGATTCTAGAAGAAATATTTTAATAAACACCATTTGAAAGTCAGAGTAACGCACTATCTTTCCAACCCCGCACACTTTCACACTTTCTTTTACATGCAGGCATGCAACCAAGTATTCGTGCGCTCACATGTGTGTGTGTGTGTGTGTGTGTGTGTGTGTGTTTCTTAGACATGCATACACGGATATTTACAAGCTAACAAGCAAACCGGATTGAAACGTAGGCTTAACTAGCCTAGCAATAAAAGAGAGAGAGAGAGAGAGAGAGAGAGAGAGAGAGAGAGAGAGAGACTAACTATAATGTTATCATCATTATTATTGACAGATCAAAACTCGAACGGGTTATACCACGTTAAAGCTTGTCTAATAAATATAATCTAAAAATTATAATAATAAATAAAACGGGACAAAAATACCTACCACCGCAGTACGCCAGAGAACATTCTGGAACCTTTGGCAAATAGTAGACGTAGAAACCTGCCAGACACAACTTAACCTTGACAGTGTCTGACCAAGTACAATTGCTAATCCAATATGCACAGGCTTTGATGCTGGTCACTCCCGCTTGGACCGTCGGATGACTTTCAGTCAGCCACATCGGGGCGTGAGTCCCACATCTTTTTCGCGATGTCGGACACTGCAAATTTAGACGGATGATTAAGTGTGAGATAATACACTGTCACCCGAGCGATATATGCCATAACACCTTCGAGCGTCAGCGAGAGGTGTTCATGGCATATATCGCAAGAGGGTGACAGTGTATTATTTGACATACATACCACGAACAAACATAGTCATTTCATCCTAAAACACCCCTCAAATCAAATAAAGTGACCCTACATCACGCTCTAGAAATGTTATACGGAATAAACTTGTCCACGTGCGCTGGTCACCTCCCGCCAAATTCTTACGTAATGTCTGACCAATTTGGTCAATTTTTGCTAAATACTTGTCGTGGACGTTCAACTGGCTTGAAAAGTATTTAATCAACCGTCGACACTGACCATGCGCGTCTCAGCTGAGCCACACCTAGCTGGGACTGCTGAGGAAAAAAGGTCCCAAGGCAAAACCTCTACCTTTTAGTGACATTTCTGATAGACAAGGAGCGTCGGACCGGAATATAATTTTTCACAAGTGCAAAGGAGAAAGAGATTTACTTTTTGGTGATATTTCTGACAACGAGGCAGTTTCGGTATATGGTCAAAATCAGACGGATGTTTATTACAAGTTCACGGGAGTAATAATTCTAGTTTTTATTGTTATTTCTGACGACGAGGCGGTTACGGAATATAGTCAAAACCAAACGGATATTTATTTCAAGTCCACAGGAGTAATAATTCTACGTTTTGGTGACATTTCTTACTACGAGGCGGTTTCGGAATATAGGCCTACATGTGCTGGTTTTCAGAGTATTCATGTGCTACATGTAATTACAAGATCAAAGGGGAATATATTTGATTTTTACCGATATATCTGATAAAGAGGAAGAATGAACAGCTTAAAAACAAAAGGTAAATAGCACAACCCTCGTTAAAAAGTTATAGATTTATAAATAATTTGTACATGTATGCACGTGTGGCTTAAATGTAAACGAATTTCCGTTTTCAAACCATACCCATATGATATGACTTAGTGTAATAATATTATAAATAATAATTGCTAAACGTAAAAAGTTAATGCTAATTTTTTAAGAGTGTGAGAGATTTTAAGTTTGTTTAATAGTAGGTGTATAACACAAGCAACGTCACTATTCTCTTGATGCCAAGATGGTCACATGATCACTCTGTCTTTGGCTTTCAGTATTTAAGAGACCTCGACTGATTTAACCAAGATGTAGTCGTGAAATTCTAGACTACATCGGGGTTAAATCCGAGTTTTCCGAGAGACGCTACGCAGAAATGTCGAGTGAAGCGAGATATTTTTGGGTAGCGGCACGAGGTTGCCCTCGATCTTCACTGAAGCTTGGCTAAATGGACAAGCTTCAGTGATCATCATATCGCCACGGTCACATAACTTCCCTAGGTATGTATGACGGAACACTGTCTCCCGATAAGGCAGGCAGTTTTATTTAAATCTTTCACAGTAGTGCACTATTTGTGCTGTTTAAAAATGTTGAATGTCACATTAATAGACTGTCGATAGTTTGATAACACAAACAAGCTATATACCAAAATCTAGCCCATTTTGGACCTGTTCTGAAAGTTGCATCAAAATCTTTTCATAGCTTTTTGCAAACAGCTTTTTGCTTGCAGGCAAAAAGACTTCATTTATCAACTAATTAATTAACTTGAGTGAACTCTAATCTCTTTGGTAAAATATTTACTTTACCCTAACCTTATGTGTATAGATGGTTCCACTAATTTCTCTTTACATTGTAGATGGTATGGAATCTGCTGGACGTTTTAATATAGTAGTATGCTTATAAATCGTTCATTGAAGAATCTGACATTTCCAGAAAACACCATTTTTTGTTTTTACAATCTCCATTATAATACAATGTAGGGCCCCTTATCCAATTCACGAATTCATCACCACTGTGTTGTCCCTAAATTCTAAATATTAAATCCAATATTTCTTTCCAACGCCAAGGACATATTTTGAGCGTTCGTTGTTAAATCAATGCCAACAATGCCTTTTTTCTACATTCTATATATTTAATGTATCACAAATAGGAAACAAGTACATACATAGGCATATGAAAGCAAATTTTGAAAAAAATGTATGAATAGATCAAAAGTGGATGTCAATGAAAATGAACACAGAGAAACTGTAGATATACTACACCAGTGCCTAAACCCCTTTACTTATATATCAATACAGATGGAATCAATTTGAAAAATACGCCAGGGAAATATCTTTTTTTTTATAATTACAGACGTCAAATGTTAGGTTTTAAAAATTAGAGCTTACCTTATCTAGCATTTTGTTTCCAGCACCGCCTCTGAATCTGTACCAACCGGGGAAATCATTGCCTTTATCACAGTGTGTGTTCCCTCTTTTATCCACATCTCTCGCATTGTTAACATTTCTCCAACCTTGGGCAAGGATGCCGTGCTTTATACAGGGATCTACTAAATAAATAAATAAATAAATAAATAAATAAATAAATAATATATCAATGATATTCAACAAAGCCTTAAAATAGATAATACATGTATAAAAACATTTTGTTGGAAAGGCAACATTTATCTGAAAGGTGTGATAGCACTGCTAAGAAAAATAGATCATGAGTCGTCAATGATAGATAAACATCTCAGTGTATTTTTTGCATTCCAATCTTTTTCGTGCGTGTTTAATTTGAATATTTATAAACAGTGAATAAAATAGTAAGAGAAATCTTTTTAGCCAAAGACGCAATCTTTAAAACACTTTACATCTCGGCATTTGAAAAGGAGCTTAACGTTTATATATTACTCTGTTATAAACCATCATCAACCCCCTTTTTCACTCAAACTCAGGTGTGCCTTAAGAATTTAAAAGAAAGTCAGTAAAACTAAATGGTCAATTACCAGCGTGTCGTGACTTTGCTCCATCGTTTGCAGTCGAACTCTGAATATGGAATAAAGCAAACATTTATTACTCCCCTGTCTAATGTTTATACAGTATATTCAAGACGCAAAAAAGGGGAAAGCAGACGAAGCCTGGCGGTATAAAATATTTTGGACAAATAGCTAAATAAGATTTATCAATGTCATCATTGATTTCGTACAACATGAATGTTACCAATAAGTAAGTCGAAAAAAAAAAGATTATCAAGAATGAGATTAAGTAAAACACAAATTTAACTCGACAAAAATACGTTAACAGTGTGAATTATACATGGGGACATATAAATTTATCATAAATTAATGTACCTTAAATATCATTAAATAAAATTCATCGTTCAACTTCATTAGACCCATATGTAGATCTTAAAGCATAGAAGGAGACCTCTATATAAGGTGACACTACACTTTATTGATAACTAAATTGTATTATACTTTATCTCCACACTGTTACAATGAAGAATACACGGAGTACATGTAGCTTCTAAGATTCCTCTCTCATTAATATATTAAATGCACGTGTGTATTTATCAAACATTTGTATACATTACCTCCGATAGGGAACCATGTAACAATAGGCAGAAAGTACAACAAAAGATCGACCAAATCATCTCCTTTCTCCAGCACTGATAAAAAGGTGAGTGAGGCCGTTCAGTGAAACGACTGAAATCATTCATTTTCTTGACGCCGCACCCACGACTTCCAAATATGGACATCATAAACTACCGTGGGCAGGAGATTGACAGTGGGTTGAAAATGAGTTAATGGATACGATTCAGAGGTCAGATCTGTTTGCAGCGAAATGCTAACAACGGTCAGGGCTTCAATGCTCGGGTTTATCATTTGTAAATACTTCAGACACGATGTTTTTACATTTATTTTTGGTCGGATTTATCATTTATCAGTAGTTTAAATATGGCATTTTCAGATTTATTTTTTCTACCTCTGTTTTCGATGCAAATTTAGAGCAGGATGTCTACAGGGGCTCCTGTTCACGTCTTTAAGTGAAAAATAATAAATAGCCACCAAAATATCACATACCGGGCAGAGATCCCCGTCAATCGATGTCCAAGTTAAAGTATATACCCTTTGCTAACTCCACCCTTCATCACTTACTTCCTAAAGCGTCCCTCCCACTGAAATTAGCTTCCTTCGCGACTGTCCAAAAAACATTAACGCCGACATACTACATGTACGTCTTAATACATGAACATTTTACGTCTTAGATCCTTTCAGAGCTCGCGTTGAACGCCATTTCTGGAAGTTGCTATCAAAGGCTTACTCTCAGATAGGCCCCCGAGCCCCTACCTTACTCGAAATTTATTGCATATCTACAAAAGACTCTTTCAAACTATCAAAACCACATAATACCAGGAGGAAAGAGTAAAACGATATTTTGTTATCTCTATTGTCTCTTTTTTCTAAGACACGTTACCAGCTAATCTTGATCGAGGGCAAGGCAAAAGGTGCGCTTTCTGCTTATGCCCCGACTCGTGTTAATGCATCATTTTACAGCATTAGGTTTGTGTACTCAAAAATTTTATCTATAATTTTTATTCGTGTGGAGTCATGTACTTTTTATTCTATATGCAGTCAGACTCTAATCGTCATGGATTTAATAAAAGTTTGACAAAAAATAAAAAAAAAAACAACACATTTATGTATTGTGAGTAACCAAAGTCCTTTTAAGCCTGTATTATTCATTGTGGGTGTTTTCAGTTAAACAGCCTGGGTACAAATTACCATAGATGGTGAATGTGGAAATGGTGTGTGTGTGTGTGTGTGTGTGTGACGACCCGATATGTCCGACAGGCCAGATATGTCGGACACAACTGGTTCTTTTTTGTCGGACATATCTGGCCTGTTCTCTGGTCATAGGACATATCTGGCCTGTCGGACACATCTGGCTCCTTTTTGTCGGACATATCTGGCCTGTTCTCTGGTCATAGGACATATCTGGCCTGTCGGACACATCTGGCTCTTTTTTGTCGGACATATCTGGCCTGTCAGACACATCTGGCTCTTTTTTGTCGGACATATCTGGCCTGTTCTCTGGTCGTAGGACATATCTGGCCTGTCGGACATATCGGGTCGTCACAT